CACACACACACAGCGCCACCTGTGCAAGGTCTGTGCTCCCTGCAGGATCATTTTCCAGCTCCCCAGATACTCAGCAACGAGAGATGACTCAGCAGTGAGAGATGACTCAGCAGCGAGAGATGACTCAGGAGCAAGAGATGACTCACCAGCGAGAGATGACTCATCCGCGTACGAAAGTTGTACTACAAAGTCGCCAGTTCTCAGCTTCTAGCTGCACAGACTGCTCCGCGTACTCAAGTTGTAGTACAAAGTCACCAGTTGCTCTCTGGCTTGCTAGCTAGCGCCTTCAAACCATGGTCAGCTACATGTACGGATCCCAAAACAAAAGCAAGTCACACCCAGTCAACCCAGTCCAACCGCTGGTTCTTTCCCAAACAGTGTCCCTAGTCATGGTCAGCTATACGTACAGAATCCAAAACAAAACAAATCATACCCAGGCAACCCAATCCGACTGGACGGGTTCCAAAACAAAAACAACATGCGTGTCCCTGGTCAGTCGCACGCCCTCCGGACTTTTTGACCACCACAGTGCCACCTGTGCAAGGTCTGTGCTATACCAAGGCGAGATCAGCAGCCCACACCGGCGTGCTGAAGCAACTGGGCATCTGCTGCGGGCATGCGAAGTGGGTGGAGTTTTCAAAGTCAAAACCATTTCTTCCAACATTGGGTGTGCTCCTCCGTGCAAAAACAGCGAAACTGTTCCTTGTCGGGCAACGCATTTTCCGGCTGTCTGCGCGGTCCACAGCGACGCACGCAGATCGATGCCTCCCGACTAGAGCCAGGAATGGTTCACCCAGCGCCTCTGGCAGGGCTGGACAAGGTGGAACAACGGGCGGCGGGGGTGGTTCTCTAGCTACGAGGGTGGTGACATGACGTTGGTCACACCACCGCGCGTCGGAATGAATTTAGTTACAGAGGATTTCAAATTTACAATTTCCACCGCGACGCAGGTCACAACACCACACGCCACGCAGAAAAGCATGAGTGCTTCAACACTCGCGCACCAACTCTGCGCTGTCTCTCCATCTCTACACCTCAAATAAGAAACAACTACAAATTAAGAAACGGCTTCGGAAACACATGACATCCATGGTCCGTAGAAAAGCTCTCCTCCTTTTTTGCCCATGCAGCTCATGTGTATACAGCACACCACCCACAGCTTTGCTTTTCTTCACCTCATCCCATGCGTGTTTGCTCAGCGCGGTCAACGAAGGCTGTGGTAGAGCAGTCCGCAACGACGTACTCCGTCACTGTCTACGAAAAATCTGCGGCACACCCCCACAGGCAGCATAAAGGAGCCAAGCCTACGGCAAACGAAAGTATTGGCGAAGCAGCCCGCAACGGCATACTCCAGGACAATTCCTGAGAAGCTGTGCAGGCGAACGAAAGTATTGGCGGAGCAGCCCGCAACGGCATACTCGGGGGTCTAACCTAAGCAGCATGTCGTCCCGGCTGTCTGCGCGGTCCGCAGCGACGCACGCAGATCGATGCCTCCCGGCCATAGCAAGGAACGCGGATCACACCGCCGCGCGTCGGAGTGAATGTAGTTACACAGGGCGTCGAATTTGTAATTTCCACCGCGACGCGGGTCACACCACCACACGCCACGGACAGAAAAGCATGAGTGCTTCAACGCATGTGCGCCAACTCTGCGCTGTCTCTCCATCTCGATGTACACTTCCAATAAGAAGCAACTACAACTAAGAAACGGCTGCGGAAACACATGACATCCATGGTCCGTAGGCAAGCTCTCCTCTCATCTCATGCCTACATCTCATGCCTACAGCGCAGCACCCCAGCCCACAGCTTTGCTTTTTTTCACTGTGCTGCCCATGTCGAAGCCACGTCGTACGCTTGCGAAGGCTGGTAGAGCAGTCCGCAACGACGTACTCCGTCACTGTTCACGATCTGCGGTGCACCCCCGCAGGCAGCGCGAAGGAGCCAAGCCTACGGCAAACGAGGTGCTGGCGGAGCAGCCCGCAACGGCATACTCCAGGACCACCCCCAACAAAAAGCCACCCACAACGGCACACTCCAGGACTATTTCTGAGCAGCTGTGCAGGCGTCCTCAAGGCAGCATCTGACCTAAGAATCATCGAAGTAGGCTTCGTCGTCGTAGAAATCAGCGGCGATTTCTTGCGCTCTGCGACGCACGTCCTCCAAAGCCCTGTCTTCCAAGTATGCCTCAAAACCTGCCTTTTCCAACTCCTCTTCTTCGTGCAGCTCTGCATAATACGCATCTTCGTCAGCCGACAAACCGCCTGCATCACACTGCGGCTCCCTGGTCCCATCTCCCACATCCGGCAAGCTGGTCGTCTTCGCGGTGGCACCGCGCATGGTCTTACGCTTGGTCCGGCCACCACCTGCTTTGCTAGCCATGCGGCGAACAGGCTTGTCCGTGTAACCTGGCTGAGGCAACACCCCTTGCAAAGACAGCATGTGGGTCAAATCAGCCACTTGCTCAGGACTCATCTGCGCACCCTTCAAGCTTTCAGACCAAGCACGATGACGTTGCACGTCTTCTTGCACGGAAGCCCGACCTTCAAACATAATCTCAGCGGTTCGATCGTGTAACTCATCCAAATGCTGCTCCAATTCGGCCCGCCATCGAAACAAGTCGGTGTCGACCATGCTTTGGAAAGATCAATAATCCGGCACGTGTTTGAATGCCATCATTGCAAAGTCGGTGACACGCGAAAACCCGACAAAGGCGAGGCCGCACATCTGCTTGAAAGGCGACCAAGTCGGTTCGTGCTCCATGTTGAAAACACAGCCGGAGGACAGGGTCAAACCTTGGCTTTTGTGAACCGTCATGCCATAGCACAAAACGAGAGGAAACTGTGTGCGAGCCAGGCCACGAAACTTTTCGTGTCTGTTGGTTTGCTTTGGGATGCACACCCACGTCGGGTGTCCTGCCACCATGAGCGGACCGACGTAATCTGGGAAATCGACGATGACGTATTCTGCGGCAGTTGCAGACACGCCGCCAACTTCAGCCGCGGACGCTCCCGGTTCGACCCGATCGCCGCTCACGGCGGGGTGCTGCTCCGCCGGCACAACGGACACGACGTGACCACGGGCACCATTCACCAACCTGGGGGGCCATTTGATCGCCAATTTGGTGATCGATGGTCGTTTGGCCAAATGGCCGTGAAAAAAGCAAATGGCCGTGAAATCCGGTATGGCCGTGAAATCCGGTATGGCCGTGAAAAATCCCTCCCACCCACCCAACCACCCGCCCAAACCCATTTGCCTTTAGTTCATGCGTTGGCGTGGCAGCTGAATCGTGGCAACTGTACAGTGTAGTGGCCAAACAGCTTGCTAAGCTTTTCTGGTCACAGTTAGGATTTTGCACAAGTCATTTATACTCTCAACAGCGTGGGTTCTAGGCATGCCTGGCTCTGGTGCCAGCATGGGCATGGGCTCTAGGTTCACCTCGTTAAAAACAATGTCATATATGTGTTTTGGGCAAATAAGACCCAACCCAAAAGAACAGCGTAAAGCGCAAAAAAAAATGTTTCCGATAGGCCCATATGGGCACACCTGTTGTGGATGTGATCACTTGTGAAAACAATCGGTGGTGATAGGGAGAAAGGAGGAAACGTACAAAAAAACAACACCAAAACCTTCGCGCGTTCGTGACGCTCTAGAGTGTTTTCGGATTTCGCGCGAGTTGTGGAGGGTGGGCCACTTGCTTCATGAACGCCGCTTCAATCACAGGTCTCGCGTCAGTTAAGAAGGGTTCACGCACGCATACTTCGCAAACTCATGCGATGTGTCAATCTAGGCTTGATTCTAATTACAATTTGTGTTCCAACTGTTGCTCACCAAAGTGTTGTAGTGGCAACTCTTGTTCACTAACTCACCAACCAAAAACATATACCACATATAGGTGTATATAGCGAAGCCCTTTTCACCACCTTTGTCCAGCTGATGGCACTCCTGAAAGGAGAACGCTGCAGGCCATGCTGGTCCAGTTCTCCCATTAGATGTTAAGTGGGTTGCAGGTTTCATTGCGTGAATCATCAACCTAGCTAAAAAGCGCTAGTTTAATCAAAAGGGAATTGTGTACATGCACCCATCCACAAACCAACGCAAAACCAACCTACCTTGTTTCGTACACTGTTCGCAGGCCGTGAAAGCCTCAAACTGGGTTGGACTGGACACATGGTCGCACTGCCTCGCTTTCCCGCCGTGGAGATTCAATGGTTGGCCGATATAAGTGTCTGAACTGGCAGGGTCAATATCAAACATATAACTCTTATATACTCCAGTGGACTCTATAAAACTACTGTCCCTGCACTGAGTGAACAAAGAAATGGGACAAAGGATTCTCAATTCCACCGGTGGTGACTTCCATATGTGGCCTGCATTGATCACTAACTGCAAGGTAGGCTTCATCCGTGATCTATTGGGCTTCACGGCTTCACATTCTTTGGGATGCATGGCGCCCCTAATTCCAAAACAATGAAGAATTTGCACCAAGTCTTGTTTAGAAGGTTTTTTTCTCCATGTAAGAGGAAGCATGCGTGCCCACGCCAGAGCCGCCGAGCCAGGCGTTCTACTCACAGATCGGTGCGCAGCCTCGCGATCGCTTTGCCAGCGATGATGTTGATTGAGGGTTCAGGTGAATTAGGATCTGTGTGAAATGCAGTGCGCTTCAGAACTTTTTGGATTCGTTTATATCCGTGTGAAGTGCAAACAAACTTCCTCAGAATTGGTGTGGCCGTTTGAAGCCAGTTTCGGCTCCTACCCAAGTTCTGCTCGCGACAGTTTCTTGCAGTGGAGAGATGTCGGACGCTTCTCTTTCTTCTGGAGAATCTGATGAGGGGCCCTGTGTTGAGCAGGATCCGGGTCCATGGGTGGAAGCCTTCAAGAAGTCAAAAGCTCTTAGAAATGTTGCTGGGCCGGATTCACAGATTGAATTGCAAGTTGAAAGTAAACTCGGGTAAACAAAAAGCTGTCAAAACAAGTCGTAGCAATTCGTGCGTGAGGTGGGGATGACTCTGGTGGTAGACCATAGTGGCCGCTTGCACACCAAGCACAAATGCACCATGAAAGATCTGATCGCCCACTCTGAGGCGTGGTCCAAAAACATGTTGGCTTTCCAGCAGAGTATGTGTGATTACTTTTCGCCAATGCCCTCTTTAACCGTTTTGGTGGCAGGTTATCCTGGTTGGGGTGGAGGGCCTATGTGGGAAAGCTCGTTTGAGTGTCTACACCATGCAGAAGGCAATACTCCAGTTCTACAGCCAATGCAAACTCTTTCCATCAGGTGTGGTAAGTGAAATCCCGGCTGTCCAAGATTGGGCCATGAAGATGTCCATAGCCATCGCAAAGATGGTGACTCTCCACATCATGTATTGTCATGGTCACTTGTTTCTTTTTCTTGGGCTGCGCAGCTATAGTGTGCCTTAATGGCTCGAGGTCATATGCCAATCACCCAAACATACCTGTTGTGAATCCAAGGTATCGAGATTGCGGAGGCTGATGAAACGGTCATCAGGTTCGAAGCACAAGAAGTTGACAGATTTGAAGACGGCAGCTCGTGTCAGGGGTTGGGATCACGTTTGGCCTGATGTGAAGTCGAACACGAACAAAACCACCCGAGTGGTCACTGAGACCGCACAAGTTGTTGACGTGAAGGGAATAGTAGTCAGATGTGCCCTTCACGCGTTTGTCTCCGTCACCCCGTCTTCCCTATTTTTACAAGTAGTCCCGGTTCCATGCCCAGGCGAAGAACCTTGGTGACGGCTGCGGTGACCCAGCCGGCCTTCTCGAGTTGTCAGCGGCATCCACCAGCGCGAGCGGTCCTAGCAGTGATGTGTCTTCTTCTCTCCCCTCGAGTCTCACTACTAGCTCGGCCAGTTCAGCTAGCTACAGCAGTAAGGTGAGCAGGTTGGTGGAACAGTTGAAGAATGCCCAGGCCCTGAAGTTAGGGAAAGGAAATTTCCCGCCGTCAGCGACAGGGTCAGTTGCTGAAATCCCCACACCAGTACGTTCTGATGAACCGGCACCCTCTTTAACCATGGACAAGGACAAGGTGAACGCAGTGATCCAACAATTGAAGGCCACCAAGAAAATCCCAGCTTCAGCTTCGATTGAAGCTATGGGCAATGAGGATGGGAATCAACCACGAAAAATGGTTCAGAACCCACACCTTCTTTCTCCATATGTTGCTTGCATGTATATTAAAAGTGTCACTTTTTTTGGTGGCAAGTGGGAAAAACACGTGAATTAGAGTAGTTTTGTTCATCTCAGGTTCTGGATGCATTGAGCAGTCGAGCGGCTATGCCACATAAACCTTTTCCCCTTCATGCTCAATATATTCCTGCTGTCCAGAAAGCCCGCGAGGAGGCTGGTGAACAGGATGCGAAGGGCGATTTGCCTGGGGCCAGTGATCAAGAAACGGCACACCCTGCCAAAACGACAGCTGGGGAAAAGGGGCCAGAGTGTCTCGATCAACCGGATGTCCCCAAATGGGAATATGGAAAGAAGAAAACCGAGTTTGTGAAAAGGAAACGTGCTGATGGCTTGAGCTATATTGAAGCCATTGCGGTGTGGGATGATTCGTATGAGAAGGCGGAACTTTTGGGGCCCGTTCCACTCGCAGAGCTAAAGAAGCGTAGGTTCCTTAACAAAGATTGTTTGGAGAACCCTTGGCAAAAAAAGCTTGAGGGTTCCAAGGGGTCTTGAATGAACATGGCTGCAAACCGCTGTGTTCTCCGTTGGAGCATCTGCGCCGAGCTTGGGCGGGGAGCCCATGCTGGAAAGGTGATGGGAAAACAAGCTGAGGACGTGTGGAAGTCAGGATCTCCAGTTCAATTTGGTCATGCGCAATCGAGATGTTGTCGGTGGAAACAATACCGTGAAAGGAAATCTTTGGTGGCGACCCTTTATTCATCTTAAGGCTTCAAGAGAATAGAAAAAAGGGTGCTGCCGCAAGATTGTCTTTCATGGTCTGGCCTTTTTTGGAACACTCCTCATTCCAGATTTGGTCCAAGCCATTGGGGTTGCGCGCTCAAGGGGCCGGTGTGATTTTTTGGGGGTGCCCTGAAATGGATATCCCAACATTGATTCGAGGGCAAGCTCCAACCATTTTGGTGGTGCTTTGCCTGCTTATTCGGCGGCATACAAAAATTCCGCACTCGGTTGACCTTTGGTGGTGGTTTGGCGCAAGTTTCTTTTTAGTTGGGACTATTTGTGGGGATGTGGGCGCGGACTCTGAATTCGTCCAAGTTCTACACGCTAAGGATCGCAACTTCTTGGAACTATTTGCTGGTCGCGCTGAGGTAACGAAAGCTCTTCGAGCAGCCGCTTAGCTCTACCAGGAAAAAAGAGACCCTCAAGTCCCTCAAGCAACCATGGGCCCTTCTTGCCAGTTCTCCACCCCTTCCTCCACGTATCTCGCCTCCAACGGCTGATGCGCTCCTCCAATCCAGTTGATCCAAGGCTGGCCTCAAAGGAGCCGCCGTTGACATTGACCACAACCAGGTTTGGGATCTTCTACGACCAGGTGCTTTTGCGCTGCCTGGTACAAAAACAGTGGTACATATAGTGGATGGAGCCATCCAAATCGTGTTTTTGGCCCTAGGCTAGTCATCAATGAGCTTCTTCGACGTGTTCCTGGATCTTTGGTTGTTTTGGCACCTTGCTGTAAATCCTTCTCACGCATGAACCTTGGTTCAAAGTTCAAAAGACAAGACATGCGTGGAAAAAGGGAGAACCCTTGGCAATGTTGAAATCTTCTTTCTGTTGGGGCGGTGATCCAATGAACCGGCCCAGGACTCGCCACACCGCGGGCAGGTGTGTCTTCGTGCCTTATGGATATGAAGGGTCTGAATTTGTATCTCAAGGAAATGTTTTGGCAGTAAGGGCCATACTCCTTTGTGTGCTGGCCAGCTTTTTGGGCCTACGATGGCTGTTGGAGCAGCCTTCTGGTTCATCCTTTGAAGATTTACCTGAATTCCAGCTACTTTTACGCGTGGCGGAAGTCATTTGGTAAACACTTCAACTATTGTTTTTTGTTGAGTCTTGTTCTTCACCACCTTTTTAGAGGCTCCGTTTTTGTCACGCTACCAACTCGAAGCTACTTACGTACCACCCGGCGCGAAGAATGTATTTGATCAGGTCTACTCCGGGAGGTTTTGGATGGGGGTCTTCAACGCGGAGACGCCCAAACCCCATGTCTTGTTCTCCAACGACTCGGGGTTTGTGGACGCAATCTGTGCCAAAGCAGGGTACATGAGCCGTGAACAACAGCAGCGCTGCCGTGGACAAACTACTATCAAGTACATTGATAGAAAAGGAGTTCGGAGGTGTGTGGGGATCAAATCCGCCCTACGTGATTCACAGCACCTTGAACCGATCTGTGAACATTTTGGCGCAACTTCACCCCTCTCTTAAAGGACTAGTCCCTGCCCGCTCACCAACCGACCCAGACCTCCCAACCTGGGAGGTTGCCAACCATGGTAGCTCGTAGCCTAGGTTTCGTGTGTGATTGAGGCACTACACGAGAGAGTTTGGGCTCTTCATTGCTGAGTTGGCCACCACCAGACAAGCAGTGGCTTGTTTGAAGACCAAAGGACCAGAAATGACCATCGCTAGTAGGCTGCAGGCCATCACTATATAGGTTGGAGGCCATGGCTAGTAGGTTGGATGCCATCGCTCTTACCAGAAGACCTAACCCCCAAATTGTAAAACATGCATATGTGGTAAGGTGCCTCTCCCTGCGCCCAAAGTCCAAATCAAATTGCCTCCTGGGCTATCTGACCGTGAGCTCTTCGTGAAGTTCTGCCTCCCATTGGCGAACAAGTGGGAACGGGCTGCTTGAGCTTGCCAAGCATGAAAGTTTTTACTTGTTTGTACCTAGGTACAAGTTAGATGTGGAAACATGTCTACAACCATCCTGCTTTGCTGGCTCAGGGGAACACCATGGACGTGGTCCGCTATCTTTTCCACTGCAAGCATGTGGTGATTCCAAGTTCATGGGAACCTTGCCACCGAGTTGTTTTCTTTTTTTGTTTCAAACTTGTTTCCACTCAGGCTCCCCCCCCTCAAATTCACCCTGGCGCCCTGGATGTTCACGCATCCCCAAATCCGATCCACTCAACGCGTGATCGGCCTACTCCGACCGGCCTTCAGGAAGACATCATGAGGGAAATCGCGGCCTGAGGGGCCAACACTTGGATGAGGAGTCGAGATGTGGCTTTTTTTGCCACATTGGCATTTCTAGTAATTAAGCCATAGAAGCGTGGGCCTATGCAAGGACCATGCCTTGAATCTGTGTTTCTTGGGGGAAAACCTGCCCTGGCTGGTACTTCTGCTTTTGAACATGTTCAACACGAATTCACGGAACAACACATTTTGGAAACGGATGGAAAGTCTAGAGCGTGAAGTAGTGTGCAAATGGACGTGAAAAACCGCTGAATGGCCATGAAAAAACGTGAAAAACGTGAAATAAAATTTCTATCTGTTCATAGTTTTTCTCTTAGGGTTCACGGATGTTCACGGTATGATTTGCGCGTGGTTTGCCGCAACCAGCGTTTTGTTTCAAATTTTCCTGTTTTGCGTTATAGTGCCTGTCGAAGACCCAGCTCTTGACGTGATGCCTTCGAACGCTAGTGGCGCCGCTGCTTCTCCTTCGGTCCCAGACTTTGAGGTGAGTTGGGAGAATTTCTCCAAGGTCAAGGACTTCTTCGGGTTGACTGACCAGGAGACTCAGCAAGTTCTGCTTGGTATGATTGGGCCGAATTTGGATGAGCTTGAGAAGGGTGCGGAGAAGCGTCCTTCCAGCTCAACTACTGAGTCAGCCAAAAAGAAGGCCAAAGTCGGTCAGGCAGTGGAGAACCCAAACAAGGCAGCCACGAAGGCTGCTGCTAAGGCGACCGCTGCAGCGAAGCCGGCTGCAAAGCCGGCTGCAGCGAAGCCGGCCGAAGTTGAGCAGAAGCCGGTGGAGTTTGACTTGGATGATGAAGCCGACACTGATGTTGAGATGTCTGTCCACAGTGGGGGCGATGATCCGGAGTCTCCAACCCCGCCAGCCTCTGTTGCTGTGCATGAGACAAAAGAGGTCGTGTGCGAAGCCCCTGAACAGCCTGAGCCTGTCGTGGTTCCTGTCCTCAAGCATGATGACCCGAGTGCAGAAGCTGCTCGAGATTTTGATGCTGCCCTGGAGGCTGAGCTAAGTGCTGAGATTGCAAAGGTCCCTACACCAAACCGCGCGAAGGCTTGGTACCAATAATCGTTTATGAAATCTTACCAAGGTATATTTTTCAAGTTCAAGCTCATTTCTTTAGCATTCAAAATGTGTTCCCTGTCCAGGTGCCTGACGAGACTGCTAGGCGGCTGCAGCTCGAGGACTCCCAACTCCGGCTGGAGTGTCTTGACAGATCTTGATGACATGTTTGAAGTTTTCATGTTTTTTTGGCGAGAGTTAGGCTGCTTAGTGCTTCACGTTGCTTTGGGCTTTCACCCTGACGCAGGTCCTGTCCTACTTTGCTCCTGGGCCAGGAGGATTTGTCCCGGCAGGCTTCGCAAGTGGATCTCAAGGCGGACGCTGACTCTGAAGCACCATCTACGTTCCCTGAATATATCCAAACAATTTTTGCTGGTTAGTGAGGGTTATTTGGCGCGTGTTGTCAATATCACCGATGTTAATTTCATGAAGTTTGCCAAGTTCTTTGGCCAGGGTGGGGCCTTCTGCTTCCGCTGTGGCTGGTGGTGGTTCTGGTGAGAAAATGGCCAAGCTGGTTGAGGCACTCAGCTTTGTGCAGTCAGTGCAGCGTGAAGAGTGGGCACGAGTGGTGGCAATGAAGCTTTTCCCAGACTTGATCGACAAAGGTAATGCTGAGATCAAGGAATGGAGTGATGCGAAGGCTGGGAAGCCTGCTCCAGCAAGGCCAAGCAGGCAAGCCTCTATGTCTGAAGCAGCGCCTGCATTGTCGATTGCAGGGGGGAAGTCTGCAGAGATGACCGCATCTCCTACACCACCGCCAATTCCAGCGAGCACGCCGGCGAGCATTCCCACAACTGCGGTGAGTCCAGTGGATCCTGCTGTCGCTCCTCCTGTGGTACCAGAGGGATCTGAAGCCCCGGCAGAGACAGCGATCAACTCATTGACCCATCGTGCAGAGTATGCCCGACTTACTCGCAAAATGGCTTCTGTGGATGAGGCGGACTTTCCGCAGATCGCCAAATTGTGGAAGGGCTCCCGTAAGGAGATGCGTTGACGCCAATAAAATCAACTTTGTGTCTTTAGTAGGGGCATCTGCAAGTGTTCCATGTGTGTTTGAGTTGGGCTCACGCAATGTAATCTTCAATGCCCCTGCAGGAGAAGCAGGAAGTGCTGAAGCAGTGGGTTGCGTCTGGTGAAAACCTCAAAGTCATGGAGACTAAGCTAGTGATCTCAAGGTCGCAAGAAGGGACCCTCACCAAAGGTAAGGAAGCCCTTACGATCAAGGAGATGAAACAGCGCGGCTTCAGCCAGAAACTGGCCTTGATCAGAGGCATCGCTTTTTGATTTTGTTTTTTCATTTGGAAAAAAAGAGAATCGACGTAGATTGAAGACCTGAAGAGTTACCTAGGCAAAAGATTGAAGCCCTGGTGAAGCGGGGTGGTGAGCCGGATCCTGACTGCCCAGACGATGCAGAGAGCATGCGCTTCTGGTGCACTGTGGGCTCATCCTACCAGGACCAGGAGAAATGCAAGGTGGGAGTGAAATCCAGCGCTGATATCAAGACCAATGCCGACATGGTAGGAGGGCTTCTTGGCTCAGATGGCGTTGGCATGGGCGATGGGGCTGTGCAAGCGGCAGTTGCGGCTGGTGGTGGACCAAGCCTCACTGCTTTGGTGGGCGTGATGGATAGCGCTGGCGCCAATATGGATTCCAGGCCGGCCGCGAAGGGAAAGGCCAAAGCGAAGGCCAAGTCCGGTGTCAAAAAGGAAGCCAAGACGCCAGAAGAGCAACGTTTGGCTGCGAGTTCTTTGGCTGGGTTGAGAAAAAATGCTTTGTTTTTGGGTCACTGTCCACTTTGGAGGTAACTAGTGCAAATGGGTGTGTACAATTTTTCTGACCTCAAGGTTTGGCGTGTCCACAAAAACATATGTCTTGTTTTTGGGGTCTGCCCGTTTTTCTGAGGAAACCAATGCAAGAGGGAGATCTCAGCGTGTGGAACTCTTGTGCTTGATCTCCCAAGAGACCATGCCCTTCGTGGTGAACTCAACACGTTGAAGGATGAATTTGAGAGCCTGATCGAGGAGCCACTCGCCTATACTCCAATTAATATTCCTTGTATATATATATACACATATGTTTTTTGGGGGTTGATATGCCCTGCCAAAAAAAGCCTGACACCAAAACCCAACTCAGGTTGGTCAATTGCACGGATGAATCGATTGAAGAGGTCTACCAGCGTTGCGCGGCACAGGATGGGAACAACGTGTTAACGAACCAGTTCTTGTTGCACATGACACGCATGCCTCTTCCTTCCTCTCATCATCTCCCACCGCCAGGTCCAAAAAACCAGGATGGTGCGGGCACAGGCCCGGGCAGTTGCGTCTGAGCTGAAGAAGGCTGAGGCAGCCTCGAAGTGACGGAGCCGCGGCATAGATTTTGAGTGCTTTTGGGGTGGACTCTCATGAAGTCCTGTGGGTTTTGGGCAAATGGAGTGGTGTTTCTTCGCTCAAACGATTCGCCAAACAAGTCCTTTGAAGTATAGGCTTATCCTCCTGTCACTCCAAGTGTCCATGGATAGCCCAGCACTTATTCTAGATTCTAGGGGTTGTCCAGTACCCTCTTCGTAACAGGTTGAGTGGAGATGGACACACTTTTGAGCGAAAACAATTGAAGCGGGGTGGAACCATTACCGCCAAGTCGTGCGCACTCTATGGAAAAGATCCTGTCAGCTGCTTTTTTGGGGCGCAGTCCCAACTTAGTCAAAGGCTTAGTCAATGCTTCCCGCACCAATCCCTTCGCAGGTTCATGGAGACAGTCTTTGCCTGAGAACCGTCTAGCAGAAAGACTTGACCAAATGTTTCTTCGCTGGATAGTTCGTACAAAAAAACAGTTCCATTTAGCAACCACCAAAAATAAGGCTGGCCAACAGCATTGGCTGTGGCTATTCTAGTGTTCAACATGCCCGTCAAATTGCAGAAGTCTATGATTCAGCCCTGATTGGGTGCCTCAGCCTATGAAGTCTTCTTTGATATTTTGCAAACTCACTTCGAACACGCGTTGACTTGCCAGACCTTTCCCCCCCACACTGTTTGTCTGTGCGCGCAAGGTCCAACCGAGAGAGGGGCCTGCATGAGCGTGCCATCAGTGCAGGTGTTTCGCTTCCATGTCCTATCTCATGTGACTCTCCCTATGTTGAGAAGTTGGGACTCTGATGAACACGAATTAGTGGAGTGGCCACTCTTGGCTCCTTTTGACTTTGTGCCTGTGTCGAATTGAACTTAACTTTTTTTGCGCTTTTCTTTTGCTCTCGACTGCTTCTCTTCTTTGGAGGTTGTGTTCGCTCCTTTTTGGGCAGGTGTCCACTTTGATCTCTGAAGGCTATCTGGATGCCTTGGTCGGGGACTTTGAAGATTTGGAACAATATTGGGAAGGCATGTTGGGTGACTTTCCAAGACATCCTGTTGCAGAGAAGAGAAACCGAAAGAGCTGCGTTGGCTGTACTCTTTACTGAGTCTTCGTTGGAAAGGTGAATTTTTCTATTATTATGTTGTTTGAGTATGACCCCAACAGGGTTTTGTGCTCTTTCACTCTTGTATGTGCTGAGGCGATGAGATTGAAAGCCTGAATGAGTCGTGGATGTTCGTGCTTTGGTCCAGCGACGTTTCTCCATACCGGACTGACTCTGTCAGCTCGCGCTTTCCAATTGCCATAATCCCGGCAAGCCTCTATGTCATCAACGATGAAGGAGTTAATGCGACACTCCAGTCTATGACACAGGCGGTAACATCAAGCTTTAACAAGCTATCGACGCATGGTGTCAAACTACGTGATTTTCTCTCCATGGGGGGTGCGACTGCTTTCTAGCTGCACGTTTGTTTGGTACCCGTAAACCATCTCAAAATATACATACATATAATATGTTGGAAGCCTTGACCAGCATAAGGTTGCCCACCTTCAGTTCTTCGTGATGGGTTTTCGTGGCGACTGGAAAGCAATGAAGCAGGTCTTTAACCTCTCAAGGAATTACTCAACCAACGAGGCAGGTGGTTACAAAAAATCGGGTTCCAAAATGTTTCGACCAACCCTTGTTGCAACAAGCTTCTCTGCTAGGTTTGTTGGGCATGTGGCGCTACCAAGGGGGCTGACGGGGACTTAGAGATGTGCTTCACGAACACGAGTCCAACTGCCTCGTGGAAAAGTACCTTCTTGGCTTCAGACCCATGGACAACTCCCCCAGAGTATTCCTTGCTGATCGGATTTTCGTTATTGATGCTGATGGGGGACCTCTTACACGTCTTCAACTTGGGGACCGCAAAAGACGCAGCTGGGTGCATTCTCAAAGTCATCCTATCTGACACCAAAATCTTTAGAGGGTCAAACATCGAGATGCGTATGCAAGAGGCAACTGAATCACTGAAGAGGTTTGCAAAATCGCGGAAGTTTGTTTTACGCATGAAGAAACTCACCAAGAACAAGATCAAGTGGAAATCCAAAACCTATCCAGAGTTGGGTTCATCTGGATATGATGTCCATGTTGTTTCTGCCTGGTTGGAAGAGTTGCTGACCACCCATGCGCTGGATGAATATAAAGATTATACAGTGTTGTTGTGGTCAGGGAATCACGCCATGCGCTTGGTCTATGCGGCTGGCCGTTTTCTCACGGATGAGGAACACAGCACTTTGAAAATTTTGGGCAGGACCTACATCGACACGTTTTTGTCCCTGGCGTCGAACGCCCTTGCGAATCGAGAGTTTCTTTGGAGAATCCGTCCAAAGCTACACCTGTTGCATCACCTCACAGATTCTGTTCGCAAAATTAACCCGAGCCTTTACGCGACATGGATGGACGAGGACTTTTTAAAGAAAATGTCCAAAACTCTCCGGCTTACTAGTGTGAAAACGGCGCAGGAAAGAATACTCCAACGCTGGCTCATGTGTACACCATCAAACCTTTTAAGAAGCAAGGGCATTAGGTCCAACCGTTGTGCATGAGTGCGCGCGTTGAGCGTGCATGTGGAGACGAACACCGTCCAGGTTCCCCGGCGCTATGGTGCCGTTGGACCGCACTCTTGGAAAAATGGACAGCGGCGGCGATTGATGGATGAACCTTTTTTTGGACTCAGGAAACTTTAGGAAACAGAGACTCCACCCTCTGCACTTCTTCTTCCCAAGTTCCGAATAACTGGAAACAAAACTCGTATATAAATATATATATATAGCAAGGTATGGAAAATTCCCGGGAGAAACTTCCAAGTTACGAGACAAGGGCTCAAGATCAACGTACCCGAAGGCTCAATAAGGAATTGGGCCTGTCTGACAGCAACGTGAGATTGTGCTTACAAGGTTTGGTAAGCGGAGCTGCTGGTGCTTGTCACTTTGGGCGACAAACCGGTGTGGGGCTTGAAACCGGTATGGCCGTGAAATCCGGGTGTGAAACCGGTATGGCCGTGAAATCCGGGTATGGCCGTGAAATTTTGAAAACGTGATCGGGAGGCAAATGGCCACCAAATTGGTGATCGAATGGCCCCCCAGGAAGTTCCACAGTCCGCAAGTTCGTGGTCAACATAACCGGAGCCCCTTCCGCCAAATGCAGCGCCCGCTTCAAACCTCCATAATTTTCACTGGTGTAACGCTCCACTCCAGGAGTACTGTCATTGGACCAAACACGAAGAATGGTAGAGTTTTCTTTGCCTGCGACTTCTTCGCCTAGACGTCGGCCGTTGAATTGTCCGGCGCGACGGTTTTCGCAAAACAAGTGCACGCATTTGCCCTCGAAAAACTTCCGTTCCTCCACGGTCAGAGTGCAAGCTGCCACATCAGTCAAATCGTGTGACTTCCAAAGCTGAACATCTTCTTTCGTGTGCGCTGCGTCCCGCAGTCGCAACAGGGATTCCTTGTAAAGTGACTGGCCCACCTGCCGGTGAATCCGTCGAAGCCGAAACACGACCCGAATCTGCTGAAACAACCGCAAGCCAAGGTTCACATCGTGCCGATCTTGGCCTACTGATTTTGCCTTGGAACACAACAGCGTCCGTTCGGGCGGCACTGCGACGGGGGGCAACTGACCAAAATCGCCTGCAAGCACTACCTTCACGCCGCCAAACGGTAATCTGGCACCGCAAACACAAGCAGTGCACGGCGGGACACACCTCCGCGCGACTGCGACAATGCCGATCATGATACAGCTCCATTCTCCACTGCTACAAGCGCTGATGCACGTGCGCAAGAATCAGTTTTTCGGTCATGGACAATTCATCGATTTCAAGCAGGCACATGCCTCTCAGTTCCTCGTCCATGGCACGAAGATCTTCAAACGACAACGGTTCCAAACCTCCTCCAAATTTACGCTTGTTCAAGCGAAACAACGACACAAGCGTTCGACCTCCGCTGCCCATGTTGCTTGCAGCGACACCAGTGTAGGCGCAACGAACAATACGCCCTTTCAAGCCGTGAGCTTCAAGTAGCTGGTTTGCAGCTTGCAAAGGTGTCGTTTTGCCCGTGCCTGCCGTTCCTAGCAAGAGTACTGGTTCATTCAAAAGCAGGGGCCCTTGCAGGTTCTGGGGAAGGGGCAAGTTGGCTTCACACACCCCATGCGCCGCTGTGTACGCGAGCATCCAAGCACGCATGTGCTGCACGAACGAATTTTGCGTCGGATCCAACGCAGGGCCTGTAGTGCTTGACGAGGATCTGTCCTAGCCTGGTGAACAGTAATCTGCTCTGCTTCGGTGTGCGCAAGACCCCCCTGCGTCGGCTTCAAGACATATCCCTTGGTCTCAGGGCAAATTTTCACGGCGAGTTCTGGACACAGCCACTGGGCACGGACGTTGTCCAAGTAAGGGTTCAAAGCGTCCCACTCGGCCCGAGTATCGAAGTCGGCGCACATCAAAGCATCTGCGTCGACTGGTAACGACACCTCGTGTAATCTCTTCCCCGGCCGACCCATGCTCTGTTCATGCGTTGCAGCTTGCACATACCGCAACCTCTTTGCTTCCCGGTCGGCAGCATCTTCCCATTCTTCATGCTCCAAAGAATGGGGCTCCAAGCGAAACACACTCTGTCGCCATGCGCCCGTCTTGAGCTCGGCGTGCGGGATGCTCACCGGTCCATCGCAACCCACACGATGCGCTGGCGAAGAGGAAACTGCCAAACCACACTGTTTCAAGGTTTCCGCTTTGATGTATTCCCAAAGTTCGGCGTAAGGTTTGAGCACCACATTTTTTTTCTGCTTGCCAGTGACGGCGGAACCCTGTGACTGGAAAAATGCATTTGCTAAGCTTTGCAATGCTTTTTTGCTTAAGCACTGCTTGAAAACACCGGCTCCTCTTTTTTCATAGGGTTGCAAGTCAATGTACAACATCAAGAAAACAAAACGCTCCACAAAAAACTGCACCTTCTTAGAACCTTTTGGCTTTGTCTCCGTCAGTGCTTCCAGATACTGCTTGACGCACACCATCTTCAAAGGCGGGGTCATCCTCCTCCGTTCGAAAAGGTCGATGCAAGCGCAAACACAAACGAGCCATGGCGCCCGCCTCCCTGCGACGAGCGTCCAAGCGCAGGAATGGCCTCTCCTTAACAATTATGCTTTTTTTCCGCAAATGCAACGACTTTCCACGGCGATCCGTGCGACTGATGAACTGGAACAGGGACATGTTTTCCAGGGATGCTGCAGATATATCGGCCTGAGCTCTCATATTAAACCTATCCAAGTAGAGGGCCACCTTGCTCTTTTTCACAACATTCTCATCTACCCTTGCCAGTTCCACGCTGGCCAAATCTTTCAAAGCATTCGAATCCTCCTTGACGTTCAACGAGGTCACATACCTGGACGACAGCACACGGGGCAGGTCCAGCAAAACATGCCATGCCTCAAGGGAACAAATTTCCTCCGGAACAGCCGAGTGAATGAAGAGCTTCGACAAAAGGGATGCAACGGTCATTGTCTCACGATCTCCCATGCGACACACAATGTCATCGATCAAACCACTAATTCGGCTATGTGCGCTGTGTCCCCCGCCGATTTTCCCCAAGTACTTGGTCAAGTAGTTGACGGCGGCTTGCACCGTCAACGCAACTTGATCATCCACGTTTGCCACCAAGCCCATGGCCTTCAAAGGGTCGTGTGTGTTCAGATGGTGGCAATTCCGACGGGTGTACAAACGGAACAGAGACTTGCGGCGGGAATCTTCAAGTATGGCGCCCATGCCGGGCAACATGCGAGGCTTCTCGTAGTCCTTGCCGCAAAAACTTTGGGCGTGCTGTCTCTGTGTGCAACTCTCGCGCTCCAAAGGTCTGCGCGCTATTTTGGGACCCAGGCCAGGTCGCAACACTTTCAAACACTCGCTCGACACCTCGCGCGCCCCAGCAGCCAAAGGCATGACATTGAAAGTTGCAGAAACAAACGCGTGATCCAAGTCAGCTGATTGAAATTGAACATCAAAAGGTCCACGCTGCAGCTCTACAGTGGCGAAAGAAACCCGTTCAGCAGCCTCTGTCCCAGCCCGCAACGGCGTAGGACTCGGCTTATCCATGCTACCAAACTGGCATAAGGTCAGAGTCCGATCAAAGCGCCATGTGCAGACTCGTGCGTCCTGCGCAGGCGCGGCCTCCGGGTGCCAGGTGCCGCATCGATCTTCCGGACTGCCATCTTCCTGCCACGCATCTCGCCACCTTGAGGACACATCTGCCGGCAACCCTACGCATGTTCAAGTCGCCCGCAAAAACACAGCAATCTACATGACTTAATGCCTCCAAAGTCCCCAAAACAGCTTCCAGTTCACATTCCCTTTCCTTGTCCCCATTCGAGCCTGCGGTGAAATGAGCCGTCGCCAACACAAGCGCGCACCCGTTTGCAGGCAGGGTAACATGCACTTGCGCAAACCGTCTGCTGGACGGTAACGGCAACGGCGAAATGGTGACTCGGCGACTCTGCACGACGTCGTGCTTGAGCAGCAGACACACATCGAAGCCTTCCGCAGGGGCTTGGCCACGCAGCAGAGGAGACACCACTTCGTAACCTTTTTGTTGCCCTAACAAGCAAAAGTCTTCCAAGCACTGAGTTGTAACTTCCTGCAAGAACATAACATCACACTGCTCAAGAAGAGGTTCAAACCAAGGACCGGGCGAAAGCAAGTGCATGTTCAGGGTCCCGCAACGCAGAGAACATTGCTGCAGCTGCGCAGTCAGAACCTCTGGCTCTTGTTCTTCCGTATCGGCATCTTTAGTTGCTTCGATGTACACAGGCGGCACCTCAAAACCTAAGCCCGCGCGCCGATCGTGCGTGTTGCACTTCTCTGTGAGTCTTCGGTACCATTTGCGGCGCGCACGCCGGACCAGCCGGCAGTTGTTCGTCATTAGCAAAGCTTTTTGCTGCACTGAGATGCGGCAAGCGTGCCAAGCTGCATCTTGCAAGTGCAAATCCAAGTCTTGTAGCAGCTGCCGCTCGTCTTGCGTGAGTACCTTGGTGGCACGCGCACCTTGCGAAATCACATACACCATGCTAGTTGCAGTTGGGAAGACACGTTGAAAATCTACATCCTCTGCAACTGCATGCTGTCCAAAGACATCTGCAGACAGGCCCACTTGCAAGCCGGCATCTACCGTGTTACGGAGAACACATTTTTCTAGCAGCGCGCTTTCCTCCATGTCCCCCGATCCATCCGACTCTGAATCCGTATGCGCAGGCGAACCAGGACGAGCTGCCCTAGCAACGCAATTGTCAATCTCGTGGAAACTCCACTTTTCGGCTTTTGCAAAGCTCCAATCGGTCAAATACTCCTCGTGCATTTCAGCAAACTGAGCGGATATCTCGGCTGTCTTTTCATCTGGCTGCTGCATCCCTGCTGCGGTTGGATCGACACGGGGCATGCGTGATCCAAAGTTGATCGAATGCAAGTGCATGATTCCGCCTGCGCCCCACTCGAACACACCTTGCCCATCCTCGTACCTCAGCACGTGTTTGTAGAACAGTTCCATTTTGTAAGCCGTGAACCAGGCGACAACGCCCGGGTAGCGGAGGACTCGCCGGCGTTCCGGCGCTAACCGCCGTTCTGCTGGTTCCAAAGGATCCGCTCTGTCGCCCCGCCGCTTGCGTACTGCTGCTTCATAGTGCTCCAAACATTGGGCAAGGTCGTCCCAATGGTAGATGGCGGTGGTCAATGTGCTGAAATGACACGGGATCTCGCCACCGCCTTGCACGCACAAACTGCGCTGTTGCACTTCAGACAACAAACTTTCAAGGGTTTTGCGGCCGGAACCAGGCCTTGAACCTACAAAAGCACTATCTTGCTCAGTAAAACTGACTTCAAATTCTTGCTGCAAGGGTTCTGCCGCGCGGTCCACATCGGCGCGCGCGACATCGGCTTGAGCTGCTTCATCCTTCCCGCGGTCCACATTGACGCGCGAGACGGAAGGCTTGGCTTGGGCTTCTATGGTTTCAGGCGACAACACTTTCTCAACAGCAGCTTTTGCAGCGAGGCAAGCAGCTTGCAGCTCCGCCGTGGCAGCAGCGCACCCTTGCTGCTCAAGCAGTTTGCAAGCTAGGTCAGCGGTCTGCCAAGACTGTAACAAAGCGTGAGCCTGGTCTTGCAAGGTCTCTTGCTCAATCTGTTCCACCATGGCCTCTAAGTCACTGCGTTGTCTCAACTTCTCCTGTGCAGAGCCAGCCATGGAATGTTCGAAAGCGGAAACGATCTTGGTGAACTGAGCTTTACCCATGTTGAAAAGTTCTTCAGTGGTGTACGCTACATTATTGCTGGCTCCTTGCTGCCGCTTCATGAAGTACCCTCGGGCGCGCAACGCCTTGTTCCTCAGAGCAGTGTTCAACGCAAAGAAATAAAACCGGGGATGGGCTTGAAACCTGCCATCAGAGCGCAAAAGCAAATGCTTTAGCCATTCCCAGAAAGACAAAGGTTGCTGGTTCCCTTCTTGCCGCTGATGCAGATGTGCCCAGAAATCTCCGTATCCAAGAGGAAACAATTTCACAAAACCAGCAACAATGTAATACGGCTGGTCTTCGCGAACAAGCTGGTTTCTGGATGCTACGGTTGGAGGATCCAGAATTGGCACTCCTTGCACACGAGCCGCTCCGAAGCGGCGGATGGTGGATTTGTTGCTGCCACTCTCGTTCGCCGCGCAGACGGCTTCCCATAACTCATCTTTCAACTCCGCTTCCGTCTGCTGCCCGGCTACATCTTCAGGCGACCAAAGGCCATCAGACACCAAAGGTTCTTCCCAGCTTGCCAACTCCTGCGCTGCAGTCAGTTCGTCGTGTAAAATGTTCTCCACTTCGAGCACACTTTTGTCGGAGAACTGCAGGGACAAATATTGGGCAAGCGTCTTTAACATCAAGTCTGCCGGGCCACCAACTACATCCGGGGCTTTGGCATCCATGGCAGCGCGGAGATTCTGCCACAAAACATCCATCCGCTCCGCCGGGTCCTGCACATCCTGCGGCTCGTGCAACAAGCGCACTTGTGCGGCCATCTGCAACTCCAAGGAACAGGACATCCACATAGCGAACAGCTTGCGCTCCACTCGCTCCCATGGCGTTTGTTCCACCACCTCAACTTGCAAACCATGGGGTTCCTCACCTTCCTCAGTGTCTGCATATTGCCCCAAGTTCTCTTTCTGCCACGAAATCTGCACATGGAGGTTCACAAAGTGCTGCGCCTGCCACGAAATCTGCACATGGAGGTGCACAAAGTGCTGGGCCTGCCACGAAATCTGCACGTGGAGGTTCACAAAGTGCTGCACCTGCCACGAAATCTGCACATGGAGGTACACAAAGTGCTGCACCTGCCACGACATCTGCACATGGAGGTTCACAAAGTGCTGCACCTGCCACGAAATCTGCGCATGGAGGTGCACAAAGTGCTGTGCCTGCCAGGAAACCTGCACATGGAGGTTCACAAAGTGCTGCACCTGCCACGACATCTTCACTCCAAGAAACAAGTGGTAACTCTAATCCCAATGGACGGACGATTCCGAGAATGACCCGAGACCGTCTCGCAACCGTCGTTCCGCAGACCTTGCCTTACCAGCTTCGGAGCCACCGGTTCCATTGAAAAATACAGCATTTCGTGCCTTCGCTATCTCTCCACAACGCATTTTGTCTTGCGCCTGCCACGAAATCTGCACATGGAGGTGCACAAAGTGCTGTGCCTGCCACGAAATCTGCACATGGAGGTTCACAAAGTGCTGCACCTACCACGACATCTGCACATGGAGGTTCACAAAGTGCTGCACCTGCCACGAAATCTGCACATGGAGGTTCACAAAGTGCTGCGCCTACCACGACATCTGCACATGGAGGTTCACAAAGTGCTGTGCCTGCCAGGAAATCTGCACATGGAGGTGCACAAAGTGCTGCACCTGCCACGAAATCTGCACATGGAGGTTCACAAAGTGCTGCACCTGCCACGACATCTTCACTTCAAGAAACAAGTGAAAACTCTAATCCCAATGGACGGACGATTCCGAGAATGACCCGAGACCGTCTCGCAACCGTCGTTCCGCAGACCTTGCCTTACCAGCTTCGGAGCCACCGGTTCCATTGAAAAATACAGCGGTGTATGATGACTGGTGTATGATGAGGAGTGTGTGACAAGTGATGTATGATGAGTAGTGTATGATGAGTGGTGTATGATCAGTGGTGTATGATGAGTGGTGTATGATGAGTGGTGTATGATGAGTGG